GATATTCACAGCATACAAATACGATAAAGATAAACGCATAGCATATACAAATACTGCACAACAATTAAATCAATTCGTCTATAGTGTTGCGTTTCGTTAGAGACGATACAAATCGCAGTGTTATCTCGTACGGTACGGTGACAAAAAGCTGGAAGCTTATGAATGAAGATTGGGATATTTCCTATCCAGTCTATGAAATGTTTCAGGTGCAGATTTGTGTCAGTCTATTACATTCTACCGTGTAGTTCGTTGGAGTCACGAATATTCTCCTATTAACTATCTATTTTTAGAGCTGAACATTCTCGCAATTAAAGTTTACGTCTTACAAAGAAACATCTTATATTGACTGCTAAATTCGGTATGGTTTACAAATTCAACAAAATACCAGATTATTATGTCTTTTCAATTAATTATGTGCACTAGCTTTATTCTCTTAGCCCTTGATTAAATGGGAAAGCGCATTAACGGTACCCCAGGAGGAAATCGTTGCTCCGAGTCATGCGTGCTGCAACGTGACTGTCCACGTTGAGTAGCTTACGATGATAACCACGTGGCAGTGATGGTGGCTGTGAGTGATTCATGCACAATGGTAATAATCCGTTAAAAATAAATATTGGTCATGATAACGGCTAAGTAGATAAATTGCGTTTAATCATTGCCATTATTCGTCATCTGTGTAACTAGTGACATTTTATATTCAAATAATAGAACTGTGTAGAACAGCTCAAATTCTATTCGGAGACATGATAAGAAGACTTAATGGCTCCCATGGGAAGCGAGAGAGGTGGACCTATTTAAGAACACAATTTAAAACCTGTATCACTTCGTACGGTTGCCTGTACATAGAAATGTTAGACAAGCTGTATCCCAAATCATGATCCTATGACGCCACTGATGTGGGGCCCGCTACAGACTTGGTTGTTTACTTACCAGAGTAAAGGAAAGGTGGAGACATTAAGACCATTGAAAAGGTACAAGGATAACAATACCAGGTGTCCCAGAAGGGTAAGCGTTTTCTGCTTCATCAATGACACTCGCCTTGTAAGGCTAAGTCGAGAATTTGGGTAGTGACAACAAACCCACAACGCACTCTGAGCATAGTATTAAAAAATAGCTACCTTCCTTCATATCACACAAAGAATCACAAAGACCACAACAGTTGTCCAGTCTTTGTTAACCTGCATCTGTGGAAACCCTGCGTTATACATTTGTCCGTCAGCAGTCGGCATCTATCATGGAAGTCGTAATATTCGGAGCAAGCTCTTGAGCACCGAATTAACTGCGACATGTAACCACTACAGGTTTGGGAAGAAGGGAAGTCGTTGATTTCAAGCTCTGGAGGCACAGGCATTGATTCTGTCAACAAAAATAGTCACGAGAAAAAAAATCACAAATATGAGTATGGTGTGATTTTTTTTCTCTCATGACTATATTTATTAACAGAAACAAATGCCTGTGTCTGCAATTTCTTGTTATTCAAAGACAGCACGTCGTCAATATATCTGAATGTGAAATTGAAGGATTTTGCTAAGTTTTTGTTACCAGTCCTGATAAGCTAATAATTTAATTCAGCTTTGCCAGAAGAGGGGCACAGTTTGTTGGGATAGGAATGCCTACAGACTGCTGGAGATTTTGACATCTAAATAAGAGAAGCCAAAATTGATCAGCAACTCTCATTGTAGCACTTTAGACATCTATATTTTGACAATTGGTTTGGTTTGTTTGTGTTTTACGTCCTAATAATTTAATCTTGCTTGTAACACGCATTTTCATTGGCTTAGAAATTTATGTTATCAGCCCATAACGTAAAAAAAGTGACGTCGCCGTTTGTAGCGTCGTTTTTGATTGGCTGATACATCGGCGTAATAATTTCCAAGAGAAAAGAGTCCATCAATAAAATTGGGTTTCCACAGGGATTGTGTATAGTAGCTTAAATTATAAGGATTGACTTGAATATATTTTTTATGTTATGGAGCTGTAACACAAAAAACCAGAGTGTACTCTCATCATAAACCGCTCCACGGTTTATTTAGAGTACACCCTGTTTTTTTGTGTTATATCTCCATAACATAAAAAATATATTCAAGTTAATCCTTAAATAACATGTTTTGGTGGTGGAAGAAAACTGGAGTACATAGCAGGGATGTACCACCAACCTAAGACCAGTACCTAGTGACTGACCCTTTTAGACATCAAACCCACGACCCAGTGGTGGATCGCTTCTGACAAACTCTGAACAAACGAACAATGATCAATAGGCTATGTCAGGACATATCAATTAATTCCAAAGTGAAAATAACACACAGTTTAAACCTTTTATGACAGAGCAGTGAAATAACACTATTTTTTAGAGCCTTCTTAGGTGAAAGACACACCATTTTAGCCTTTTTTATGCCCCCTTTTTCTCCAAAATATAGTCCCACTATTTAACTCATTTATGGCCCCCTAAGGGAAAATGACATGGTTGCATCAATCATGACATCTTTTACAGTGCACATCAGGAATGTGAAGTTCAATCACAAGTATGGGTTTTTTCTGGCTAATAAAAAATATAGAACTAAACAAACATAAACTTGGAACTATACTGAACTGTGGCTACTAATTAAGCTCAAGTATATACTTTATACAGACACAATACAGTTTCACATTTGAATCAGGTAAACTTTATTAGAATAACATAGTATTGCACATTTCCCACTGACAGTACAAACACTGCACATGGATATCCCATCTTTATATAATGTAATAGCAAGCTCATAAATATTCACTATAAATTATGGTGTGATGTTACCTGGTACTGATAAGTTACCTTGAGACAGTTAATACCTATATAACTAAACAGGAAACGCATCAACAAAGGATGTAAAAATATACTAAAAACCTAACTGAAGTCTTGTTCCATCAGCTACAAGTAATTGTTGAAATAAATGCAACATATTTCATGTAAATTGCACATGATTGAAAATTAAAAACCTTAAATATATTTCTCAGCGCTTATCCACAGTATTATGTTGCCTGATACAATGCAAGGACGAAATCCTTTTTTTAAATATGAAACAAAAAACATCTGTTATACTTCAGGACTTACTTCGAACATTAAATAGTATTCCTCTAATACTATGAGGAATACATTTTAATACTAACCTAAGTCTCTTATTTCAACTTTTATTCTATGTACACTGAGTTCAACTTTTTAAACACTACTGTTACTGAAAGAGAATATTGCTACAAAGGAAATGAACCTTATGTTTATTGAAATCATTCTGTTGTACAGATTTACAAGTTTGAACTGGTAATTAAAATATAAATGGAAAATACCGCTGTCAGTTTATTTTGGAAAATTGAATACTGACTCGTGTGTAATAATTTCTTGCCACAAAGCTAATACACATATGTACTGCCATTGAAAAGTTTGCTCACTTTGTCAGACCACAACACTGATGCAAAGGTACCCAGAAATTACCAAAATAACCGTATTGGTGGCAATAGAAGGGTTTTACACTTACACTTACACTTGTATCACTGCTGGGAATATCAAATAAAAAAACAGTCAGTCTTGAGTTTGAAACACAACAAATTTTAAAATGTTCACAAAAGTCACAACATTACATATTAACACAAAAGTGTTGTTTACTGATTATGAATCAGAATATCACTGAGAAACCAAATATTTTCAACAATTATGATGCAATGTTTTTTGTGACACTTGGGTCAAGAGTTTTCAACACCCTAATTACTTCCTTTTTGTGACAACATTTATATACAATACAAGTGTGCTTTTTAACATCTCACATATATACTTGATTGCAAAGAACTAATCAGTGATGCTGTAAAACTGTCTATACCTGGGAATCAGTTCCTTGCTGTTTTAAGTGATTCTTGGCCTAATATGTAACAAGCTAGTGTCACTCCTGCCATTATTGTAGTCTGGTGATACTAGCTGTTGTTGCTGTACAATTTGTGTTGCTGTACATAAATTGTACAGCACCCCTGATTGGGTAGGGGGATATTAGTATGTAGTTTGTGTGATGTTGGAAACGATGTGTATAACATTACGGTGAATCTGAAGTTGACTTTTGACTGCCTTATGACTTTCGGTTACCTCATGTTTTCATTCAACACCAGCCATTGTGGCAACTCTAACCGTTGTGGTAACACTAGTTGTCTTGGTAACACTAGCCATTGTAGTAACACTAGCTGTCCTGGTTACACTTACTGTTGTGGCAACACTAGTTGTCGTGGTAACACTAGCCATTGAAGTAACACTAGCTGTCATGGTAACACTTGCTGTTGTGGCAACACTAGTTGTCGTGGTAACACTAGCAATTGTAGTAACACTTGCTGTCGTGGTAACACTTACTGTTGTGGCAACACTAGTTGTCGTGGTAACACTAGCCGTTGTGGTGGTGATACTAGCAGTCTTGGTAACACTAGCTGTCTTGGTAACACTATCTGTTGTGGTAACACTAGTTGTCGTGGTAACACTATCCGTGTGGTAACACTAGTTGTCGTGGTAACACTAACCGTGTGGTAACACTAGCTGTCGTTGTAACAAACCACTGTGGTGGCACTAGCCATCTTGGTGAAACTAACCATCATGATAACACTAACTGTCATGGTGACACTAGTCGTTGTGGAAACATTTTCCATCGTGGTAACACTAGCCATTGTGGTTACCCTAGCTATCTTGGTGACACTATATATAGCTAGTCATTGTGGTAACACTAGTCATCTTGGTGACACTAGTCGTTGTGTTAACACTAGCCATCTTGGTGACACTAGTCATTGTGGTAACACTAGCCATCTTGGTGACACTAGTCGTTGTGGTAACACTAGCCATCGTGGTGACACTAGTGGTTGTGGTGACACTAGCCATCTTGGTGACACTTGCCATCTTGGTGACACTAGCCTTTGTAGTGACACTAGTTGTTGTGGTAACATTTGCCATTGTGGTAACACTAGCCGTTTTCACAGCACAATATAAACATCTGCACTCAAGTTCCGAAAAAAAAGAAACATTTTCATGCAGGGTAGTATTTCATTGTGTCAATAACCGTAACTAGAACATTGTACACATATATACTTAAGTGGATATCTCATCCTATAAATTATTTATGATTATTGTGTTGGATTGTCTCCCTTTCAATTCCCCCCACATCACAGTATGTTCCCACTGGTAAGTGGGTAAAATTTGGTCCCATTCTTGCCCTTCAACACTGTGTGTATCATGCATAATATCATACAGACAAATATACAAAGAAAACATAGTGCATTACATAGCAGTCAATTACAAATGTTTTAAACACCCGAATGACCCAACTGTAAGTCCACATTAAGGTCACAAGTTATCATAAAAAAGTGGTAACAGAAATTTTACTTTACATGATGTCTGTAAATTCACATTTTCGTGAAGCAGTCTTTTGCACTGGTCCAAATTGCAATTCCCTGTAGAGAAAAAATTGTAACATTTTTATTGAAAATAATCAACACTGAAAAGAAACATAATTTCAAAACACTTTCAGAATATTTTCATGTAACAAATTTTGTGTAGCCTACTTGATGATGGCAAAGTATGCCGAGGATACTGATAGATGATAACTTTTAAGTACAATGGACTTTTTTATCAAAATCTTATTACAAAGGTAAATAAAACAGATTACAATTCAGCTCAAATTGACTTCCTTGTTGAAAATGGCAATGATGTAATAATGCAAATTCAGATATCTAAAATACTTTAATGTCTAGGATTTTTGCTGAGTCAGTGTCAGCTGTTAAGAGATAATGTATTATACAGTTCTAACATTGTTTCATGATCCCCTTGACTGGCCCACAATCAGTTCCAAAATATAAACAAGTTCTTCTGGTCTCATTTAAAATCAATCTGAAAACATACACAAGTAAACATCCTCAGTTAAACAATTATACTGTAGATATTTGTTTGATGGATTACTGCTAAATTAACCTACCTTTTTACTTTGCTTTATTTGCATGATCGCATAGTTGGTAAATATTTCTCTAAGGTCCTTGACTTTCTGTCTTTTGAATCGATCAATGTCACGCAGGGCAGCTTCTACAAACTTCCTGCAGGAAAACAAAATAACGGGTGTGATTAACTTTAGAAGACCGTCTCTTTTAAACATGTCTTTCCAAGTGTTTTTTTTACATTTTAAATAAAATCTTCAAACAACACAAAATCATAGAGGGATCTTGACACCTACATTGTAAAATCTTCATTAGTTCTTTGGCACCCACTACAGTAAAGTCTTAATTAGTTCTTTGGCACACACTACAGTAAAGCCTTAATTAGTTCTTTGGCACACACTACAGAAAAGTCTTAATTAGTTCTTTGGCACCCACTACAGTAAAGTCTTAATTAGTTCTTTGGCACCCACTACAGTAAAGTCTTCATTAGTTCTTTGGCACCCACTACAGTAAAGTCTTAATTAGTTCTTTGGCACCCACTCAGTAAAGTCTTCATTAGTTCTTTGGCACACACTACAGTAAAGTCTTAATAAGTTCTTTGGCACCCACTATAGTAAGATCTTCATTAGTTCTATGTAAGTCTATGTCTCTTCTGTTCATTTTTGTGATATTTATAGCCATGCGCTAAATTTGGATAGAACTTCATAATACTGAGTTGCGCTCTGGCCTATAATAGCTAGTGACAAGAATACTAGCGTGTAAACAAGAGATCCCTGAACCTTTACAGCTACTTGAGAGAGTTTGTGAATGATCACTTTATGTTAAGTACATCAAATCTAACAAGCAAATTCGCTTTCAGGACATATTGTAGGTAAACATTATTGAAGTTAGGTTTAAACATGTGAGTATCGTGCTGTTGAGACATAATGTATAGCTTGAAACTCGAAGAAAAAAAAAGCCTCATCTAATATTTGCTAGAGTTATTAAGCGGAAACTGCAGATAACGAGTCTGCCAAATGGAGTCTGATTAAAGTGGTTGTCAAACCTGGCCAGGGCCTTAATGTGTTGAACCCTGTTACTAAGTTTGAAGACAATCGGATACTATTTGTGAAAGTTACAGAACAGAAACAGAAATGGAAGATAATGATGTTTTTCGTTATTCAAGGGGCCATAACTCCACCAAATGGGGTCCGCTGAAATTAGTTGTCAAACTTGGTCGAGCCCTTAAGACATTTAACCTAAATTTGATATAAAAGGTATTCTATCACCTGCTCGACCACATGAATTTTTTTGGGGTACCTTAGTTTGGTGTCCACCCATATTTAGACCCCCTGGACGCTTCCATCCCATCCAACAAAAGTGATTAATATATGTAGAAAAACTTGTTTCATAATTTTAGTAAAATAAACAAGGTTTATATTCTAAATGAATCCTCAGGCATGATATCATAAAATATATTAGGATCTAGATGGAGACCACTCACTGTGTGTCCTCGTTGGTCTGCTGAAGTTCCTGCTCCGCCTGCTGGATCTGCTCCTCCAGTTGTTTAATCTTCTGGTCTCGCTGCTCAGGTGTATCCCCCCCAAACAGCTTTGTCTTCATTCCGGTAAAGGAGAATGAACCACCAGCCTTTCCTTGTACCTACAACAGTGACTGTCACCATTTACCTACATAGTCACAACCACCAGTCTTCCTCTGTACCTTCAAATAGGTTTTGGTCTCCTGGATAATTCAAAAGTTACAATTCAAATTTTCATTTTTTTTTGGTAGGTATCATGATACACGGGTATACTTTTAACTTATTGTACAAACCTGTTACCATAGTTTTCCTTGATTTGAAACAAAACTTGATGTGAAACAAAGCTGAAGTGTTTGTATTCCATGCTGAATTAAGTTTTTTTTTAAATGAACTGTCTCCTTAATTCATCATTTATTGTGTGTGATAGAACAGGAAGAAATGCATGCTGAAACAATTCCAAAGTGTGTGTGATTGGTTGATAAAAGGGCCATGGCCTGTACACAACTTTTTTTAAAGTCTGACGATACTTTTGGCGAATGCCACAATGCATCGACACTCCAGATATGATACGATTTACCGATGTGTCAGAGAATAGTTACACCTCCACTTACTGGACAGTATATATAAAACTACTGCTTAGTAAAGGTGTGTAGCTAAAATATCAAATGTCAGAACCATATATACAGATACATTATCATATATCATAATATATAATAAACAATATCAAAATATCTAGCAAACAGTATAATAAACAATATAATAATTATCTAGTAAATAGTATAATGAAAATACAATTATCTTATAAACTGTATAATAAACAAGAGGCCCATGGGCCTTAACGGTCATCTGAGTCCTACAGTATTTGTTTTTGTTGTTGAAATATGTTCCAATTTGAGTAAAAAATAGTTAAGTATAATGTTAACTTTGTCGGGACCATGAGCTGATCATTCCTACCAACTTTCGACTCAATCGGCCTAGCAGAACTTGACTTTAAGTTTGAAATGTAAAATGTTAACGGACGACGTACGACGACGGACGAAACAGATAGCAATAGGTCACTTGAGCTAAAGCTCAGGTGACCTAATAATGTAATAATTATCTAGTAAATTGTACAATAAACAATATAATAATTCTCAAGTTAAACATAATCACCATCCACACATCCTGCAGTAATTGATTATATAACAATACATGTTGTAACGTCAGTACTGCTCTAATACCAGGGGTAATCCTACGTAACACTACTAGTGTACTCCAGTCTGTCTGTAGATCGGACATGCCAGTTGGTGTATAGTTAGGAAGCTCTATGTTCTCTCTTGTGCATGCAATTTTGACAACACTTACATGCAAATGCACAATCATAAGTCTCTACACTCACATTTTCAATAAGATTTGACAATGGTTATATTGCATTAAAAGAACACCTCTTAAATGTCTGAACCATACCAAAACTACCTGTCTGTATCAAAGTATCTTGTGATAATTGAACAAGAGGCCTAACAGGCATGTAGCACTTCTCTTATCTGTGCTTACCAAAGTGGGTCAAGGTCTAATTTATTTAAACAAAGTCAGCAAGGAGGCTTACACTACAAATCAAATATTACCTAGTTTTTAGCAGATTTCAAGATAATTTTACTCATGTAGCCTTCAAAGTGGTTCAAGGTCATTTCTATGAACAAATATGATAGCCTGTTACCAAAGCCAAATATCACAACCCTTGGCCTTAAGAACCTATAGAAAAAGTCATCTGACATTAAACTCCTGTGACCCAGAAAGTGGGTCAAAGGTGTTTATTCAAACTAAATTGATAGCCTTTCAAGCAAGCAAGCTTTTTTCAAAATGGTATTACTCTGGATCTTAAAGACCTTTAGAATAAATTATTTGAAGGTTTTTGTATAGTTATATGTTTTCAGATATAGTTCCCCTGTAAAAGTGGTTCAATGTCCTTCGTTAGAACAAACCTGATACCTTTTGATTAAAAAAAGCTACAGGCAATGAACTCTTTGAATATTTTAACACATTTGTTCCCTTTGAAAAAGAAAGTTAGTCAAATTGTTCTTAATAACAAATGGATGACAGACTTTTAACCATCGTAGAAGCTCCAAGACACTTCATCCCAAGTGAGCTTAAATTTATAGTACATGTCACAAACTTCTTAATTAGCAATTATCCAGAAAACAGTTTTCATTAAGGAAAGTCTGAGACTTTCATCAAGTCTAGTCAGACATGATCTATCTCAAATGATTTCCTGGCCTCCTTTAGACCTTTCCTAGACACTTATTCGGTCTTTACGTATTGCAGAGTTCTCTGCTCTTGTGAGCAGGTATTGATTGTTACGTCATTTATTTGTGAAAGTAATGTCATCAATTTTTGAGAAATCAACGTAATTTTCTCACACAAACCAATGACATAACAATCAATACCTGCTCACAAGAGAAGATAACTCTGCAATATGCAAAGATGGAATAGTCGAAAAGTCCTAACATCAGATTGTTATGCAGCTGTGTATTGTAAGTATATGATATCAATATATATGTACATAAATATTTGTGCAAACTACATACATTGTAACAGCTCTGCATGCAACACTTCACTGACGACAATGCCTATTTCGAAAAAATATACAATGTCTCTTTGGGCAAGGCCCCAGGCCCTACTATCAAAGTAAAGAATAACTCAAACCGTATGAAACATTTTACACTCCCTGGAAATCTGACAGCAATATTGAATAGCATGTTTCTTAGAGTCAATCTTGTTATACAACACTGTATAGTTACTGTAACATCAAGCCCCATAATAATTCACTGTCTGATACAATGATATAATTATCTTTGTATTATATACATATGCAAGACCACACACTTGTGTTTTTCTAACAAATCTGAAAGCACAAGTTTATTACGCGGACGAATATATACGTCCTCGCAATAAATGAGTGCTTTCTGATCCGTTATGAAAAACACAAGTGTGTGGTCTTGCTTTTATCACATACCTTCCATATTTGGTAGAGATCGATACAAAGATTTTATAAACTTTGATAATTTTTGCAAATACCGGGAACTTTTCAGTTCGCCATGACAAGGGGATACCCATAAAAAGTAGTTCTGGCTAGTAGGTAAATACAACATTCCGTATTGCACATGCTCAATACAGAACGTTGTATTTCATAGTCTGAAAATTGTTTGTATTACTATTACAAGATTCAACAGGTATGTGATAAAATTCAGAACAAGATACTTAATGGGTCTGTATTGCTCACCTGTTATCAAAGCTGGTGGCTTTCAGATCGGGTCAAGGTCAGGTGTATTTAAACAGTATTGATCATTACCCTATACCATAAGGATATTTGTTAAGTTGAGATTTTGACAATGATTACTCATGAAACTGTCAAAGTTAGTCTATATAATCATTTCTTCAGACAAACTTGATAATGCTGCAAACTAGCATGCTTAACACCAAACATCATCACCATAGGACTATTTTTTATTCATAAGAAGTTGTTCAAAGTTTTTTAAGACATGTTACAAATAGTTAAAATTGAAAGAGGGTAATTAATCTGAACAAGTTTGATAGCTATTCACTATAGCATGCTACAGATAGAATAACATGGTCTTATAATTAGACTCTAGGTTATTCAGGAGCAGCTGTGTTAAGTTAGTGATGGACTCTAGACGACATACTAAACACTGGTACAACTGCATAAGCTTACTTGCCCTTTGAGCGTATGAGCTAACTATACTCATTACTAGCCGGTGAAATACACATAGCTAGTTAAAAAAAATATCGTCTTTTTTTCCATACATAAAAATGTATATGTCATTTGTGATAAATTAAAGCTAATGAAACTATTCTGTGTCACTTGTTCTTTAATATTGACTTCATACATATACTTCTGCTTCCAAATATACACCGACATCTTGTAGTTATCATTATTCCCTATTTTTAGGTACATCTGTATTTAAACAAAACTCAATATATATTATAACTATGAATATGATAGGTAAAGACATTTCCCTGTTAATCCATTTTAAACAAAACATGCATTTGGTAACTACCTGAAAAAACAAATTTAACTTACAGATCTATAAATATAAAAAAATGTATAACTTCTATATCTTACTTGTAAACATGTGTCTTTACAGTTCTGTGTAAATTCTCTTGAAAATATATATAACTTTATGTGAATTTATTTAATTTCCCTGTAAAACTTTACCTGTTTTAGTTCATGTGTAAATATTTACTAGTACTAACTTTATCTGTCAGTTTATCATTTTACAGTTATTTGGTTACACCTGAGAATACTTTACCGGTAGTAATATTACCTGTAAAAATATATAATTTCATAGGTATCCTCAACTTACCTTTAATTATATAATTTAACGGGTATTTGGTAACTTTACCTGTAATTTATATAATTTAACAGGTATTTGGTAACTTTACCTGTAACTTATATAATTTAACAGGTATTTGGTAACTTTACCTGTAACTTATATAATTTAACCGGTATTCAGTAACTTTACCTGGGATGGACTTTCCGGGTTCTCCTGATTGCATGTCAAAAATACATACAGTTTACTCAGCAATATGGGGGGTCACTGGCAAATATTACAAGAGAATTTAACCGCAAAATAGGATTTGTTTGGCTTTTTGTTGATCAAGGTCAATGAATCTATGGTAAATCTTATGTAATTGTTTTATGTAAAAATTATGTCAGCCAGACGTTCAGTGAAGTGACTTTACCAGATATGCAATACACAGGCTAAAAACAGACCTGTTGTCAATGTGTGGAAGGCAAAGTTGTGGTGGCTATTCAATGCAAAAAAAATGTTTAAATGTCAAAATAACTTATAACAATGGAAACAGTTCCACTTGGTATTGGTTCAGCTGAGTCAAAACACAGACCATGATTTTTGTTGATAGTGTGAAGTTTGTGAAGTCTATCTACAATACTGTGACTCAAAAACAGGTAGCTATACATGACAGGTTCTACTATAAATATATATCTTCTATGTTACCAGAACAAGATCCTTGATAAAGTATAATACAAAACACTTTCTAACCCATTTAAACAACCACAAGGCCTACACGGAACAGTATGAAATAAGTGGCTAAAATTGGTTTCAGACTTGAATATCTATCGACCAAATGCAATTTGACCTTTGCCCTGAGTTTGAATTTAAGATCTGATATAACAGTATTGACTCTGACCCCAGTAAAAGATCCTAACCTTCACTATTGACCTATGATCCAAGCTTAAACCGGATTAGTCAATACTGACTTGACTAATGTTTACTTTAACAGAATAACTTTAAGCTACGACTCGTCCAGAAGGTCACGAGCTAGAAACACTCACCATCTGCTCTTTCTGACTGGCCTTGTAAGACAGGTTGTCTTCGGCTCGCTCAAGGTCGTACTGTAGACACTCGTACTTCCTACACACGGACCTGTTGACACACAATGTAATTTATAAATTATCCGTAATTACATTTTCTTTGTTAGATTTTCTGACACTTGATTGGACTTATCATCATCAAATGATAGTTAAAACACAGCAATATGGATTTGACACTCAAGAAATTGGGAAAGGCTGGTGAGTTTCTACTACATAAAAATGTATATATTTATCAAAATTAGACCATCATTTAGTAATGTAAGGACTTTCTTGTCACAGATTATTATTTATGAAATTTCCAAATATATATGCAGGTAAAATATTCCATCAATTTCGGTTACTTTCAGTTAATTCTTAATTGAAGCTTTATTTACACAAGAAAGGATACAATTCATGTTATTTCCGTATTTTATCCTCAAGGCCTACCAGATGAGTTTTCATCTGTACAAATGATGAATTAACTAAAGATTTGTTTTTTGGACTTAACAATGTGACCTAATTACAGTGGACAGGCTAGCTGCGTTCCTTCAGTTTTGCTATGACATAATCCAGGGGTGCAGAGAACATAAGTGAGCATTACCCCTGGATTTTAAGGAATGTCACATTAACACCTGACAACAAGTACACTTACCTGAGGGCATCTCCAAATGCCAGGTATTCCTTGAGTTGGTCAGCATACTGCTCTTCATCCTCCAGAGCATTGTCCACTGATTGGCTGAACCTGAAACAAGGTCACGATGATTAAACTGATAACTTTAGAACAGGTTCAACACAGTTATATTACTGAACCTAGCTAAGTTAAGGTCTTCTGAGCATTTTGCTCAAGATACAATCCTTTTTATCCACATTTCAGGGTCAAGGTCAGAACAATGTTGGTATAAACAATACTGAAGCCTCAAAAACAAATAAACATTATGGAATGTTCTGCCTTACAGGTATACACGACATACAAAGCCGTTTCCACATATTTGCACAGAATTTTAGAACAATGAAACAATTGATATGTGTTCAATTTCTTGCACATAACCAGCACAGATGAGTGGTCACCTATTTGTCAGATTACATTATATGGCAAGGAATGCCAACCACAAAAAATCACAAGAGTATTTGCTCAAACAAAATTCATACAAGAGGCCCAGGGGCCTTAATAGCTCACCTGGTTATTTATTTTTCAATTTAAAACCTGCTGAGTACCATTCAGGTTTATCAAAGGAGTACAAGTAACAAAGTTGCATCTTCCATTTATAAATATTCAATTCCCTTTGCCCAAAGATTCTCTAAAACAAGTTTGGTTAGGTTAAAATCCCTTCAACGGTACAGAAGGAGAAGGATCTTTAATGTTTTCCTCTATTTCCCCTAATGGGCCCCACTAATCTGCCCCAAAGAAGGGGAATCCACACACCTCAGTTTAAACAAAATTGATTCTTTTCTCCCTAAGCATGCTTCAGACTGCATTTGGTTTAAATCCCTTCACTTGTATAGTAGGAGAAAAAAAATCCTCTATTTCCCCTATTGGGCCCCGCTCCTATGCCGCCAGAAGGCCCACACCCTCCGTTTATACAAACTTGAGTCTCCTTTGTCCAAAGATGCTCTAGGACAAATTTGGTCAAAATCCTTCAATTGGTTGAGGAGAAGATTTTTAAAGATTTACCTATTTTCCCCTATTTGGCCCCGTCCCTCTGCCCCCAGGGGGACCATACCCTCCGTTCATACAAAACTGAGAACCCTTTGGCCAATGATGCTCCAGACCAAATTTGGTCAAAATCCCTTCATCGGTACAAAAGGAGAAGGATATTTGATGTTTTCCTCTATTTCCCCTAATGGGCCCCACCCATCTGCCCTTAGAAGGAGGCCCACACACCTCAGTTTATACAAAATTGATTCTTTTGTCCCTAATCATGCTTCAGACTGCATTTGGTTAAAATCCCTTCACTTGTATAGCAGGAGAAAAAAAATCCTCTATTTCCCCTATTGGGCCCCGCCCCT